TGAGAGCTCTGTAGTCTGCATCCTCCTCCTCCTCTATTCAGCAGTAGTGGAGAGCAATACAGTTGTGATGAATGAATACAAAAGGCAAATGTTGTAATTTTCTAAGTGATGAGACGTTCAGCGATGATTTCTTTTCGTGTTCCTTCGTTAATTTCTGATGTTTTTGTATTTAAGTCTCATTTGATTGATCTTGTTCATAAAGTATTTTATTAACATGAACAGACTTCCAACAAACAACAAATAATTAAAACACTGGTTGAAAAAATTTGCACAATTATTTGTTTCAAGACACCAAAAGCCCAAAGTTTGCAAATTCTTATGTAGATGCAAAGGATCCCTTATTGTCAGGTGCTTGATTTTATATCTTCTCAGAGACTTTTGTTGACATATATGGGTGTTTTGCCAGCCCCAAGCAATTTGCCCTTTGAAACAAACGGATGTGTTTCTTTTTACAAAAATTATTAACACATACCATGATCACATGTATTTGACATAGACCACTTGACCACAGAGATGGTTGTTTTAGTTCATGTAATGTAAATGTGTGTGAACGTTGAGAATTCTTTTCAATTATGGGAAGACTTAAATAAAATGAAACTACCACTGCAAAATTTGAGAACCTCAGATCTGACCCAGTCTTTTTTATTATGATGAGAACAAGTTTACAATTGTATGTATGAGTCTTCACTTGGTGTAGGTTTTGTTAAGTCACATTTGACATTCATTGACGAGTAATGGTCCATGACAAAATATTTCCTTTTCCTTGCACTGTACATCAGTTAATACTGATTCCATAGTTATATTGCAGAAGCTGAGAGAAACAAAGAGGAAAACATATTATTTCTCTGTGCCACCTCCTGTGTTGTTGTTGTGTGACAGTCTGCACCTTGTCTACTGAACCAGCAGTTGCCCTTAATAGGTACTTTTTCATAAACTTTTTCCCATACCACTAGAAGAGTCTGGCTTCCGCCGTGCACTATTCAGTGCAAGAGCATTGTAATGAATTTCTAATTGTAGACTAACACTGATGATGCTCTCTGAACATGATTTTCTCCTGTTTTTAAAGAACGAGAGAAAAAAGCTTGCATTTCTCCATTGGTGTGTGATGGCTGACAACAATTAGGCATACAGGGGCTGGACAAAATAACAGAAACACATGATAATATCACAATATAATAACACAATGTAAAGAATACCTGTTTCACTTAAGCCATTTTGACATTTATGAGTGGGAGTGGAGAAACACAGGTGTTACTGATGACATAAAATAATGACTGCATTTATAGGTAGTTCCAGGGTCCTGGTATTGTGACTGTTGGCTCACTGTCGGTCACACTGTTACCTCTTACTGGGATGCCTAGTGGAAATATTGAGCCATTTTCTTGCTATATTTTGACAAGTCTCGATGCCTGCTGTGAAAACAGCCTTTTGACTGGAACAAAAAACACAGATGTGATTAGTAATGTTAGTGATTGCTACATTCCTTTTGCTTAGTTCCAGGAGCCTGATCATGGGTAAGATAGCTCCCTGGAATGGCTTAGTCAGACATACAGTCATTAATGCTATTAGTTGTACTTTTCCTCCTAAAATGTATCAAAATGAAAAAGCTCTTTGCTACAAAGGTTCTATACATTTCAAAACTAAACCATGGTTTTGAAGTAATCAGCACCTCTCAACAGTCTCAACAGAACATTTAAACAGACAACAGGCAGGTAGTACTTACAGCAGGTTTGGGAGGGGTGTTGCAATAAGCTGCAGACCTCACACAACCCATGGCCAACATATGCAGACCGAACTGTTTTTAACACTAATATGTAATGCATGCCATGCATCAAAGGATAAGGGATCACACAAACTCATTCTCACCACCCACTAAATTGACATGTCAAACCTGTCTGTTCAGAGCAGGTTTCGATAGCTACTCACTGCAGTGATGCATCTGAAACAATGTACAGGAGAGTCTCTAGGTACACCGAACAACAAGCAAACCCTATTTACTGTTTGATTTGCTTGACAACAAAACAATGCTCCTGACGTTTATGGGCCAGCTTTCCAGATAATTTTGTTAATAGCTTATGCCACCTGGGGACACAAAAGCAGAGCCTTTGAATCCTAATGAAAGACCTCAGGGTTGGCTTTTTGACAGTTATCTGGTATTGCTGTGGCTTTAATGGTTATGGTTAAACTGGGACATGCTTAGAATAGTGAGGAATTATTAATTGATCCAGGAGGTAGCCAATATTCAGTTATGGAAACTATATACAATTGCTCAAGCATTCAATGCAGTTTTGAGGTGCTTGTAGTATTTCAGTTTTATGTCACTTTATAGCCTACTTTTACTCCATTATATTTCAGAGGGAAATATTTAGATTTAGCATTTATTTGACAACTACTAGATAATATATAATATTAAAATGCTACATAAGTGTTGACACATTAGCAATGATGCAACAACTAGACAGCACTCAGAGAGTGCAGACCTCCACCAAGGACCACTCAGTTTCCCTATAACGACATGCCTTCATGTTTTTTGCTCAGCTGTGTGTGTGTCTGAGAGGAGTACAGCCCCTCTCTTCTTTAAACAGAGACAAACAATGAAAAATACAGTGGAAAAGCAAAGTAGGACAGTCCACATCAACCCATGAGGTTAAGGCCAGTGACAGTTAAGGGAAACAAGGAGTGGAAATGCAGTTATAATGTGCAGCTGTTACTAACCCAGGGAGTTGTCTCCATATGCTTTCAGAGTGCTCAGCAGCACAGCTGGGCACTTTGACTATAATGGGGCCCACATACAGTTAACAGCCTTTCCAGCACTCACAATGGTGAATGATTTTTAATAAATTTCTGTATCCAAATTATGATATGGATCAGCACCAAAATCCAATGAAATGTTCTGTGGGCCATACCCTACCTCTCCAAATATTTTCATCAAAATCCATTCATTACTTTATGAGTTATGCTGTCAAAAAAAACAACTAACAAACACTGGCATAACCACCACCCTTGGCAAAGGTAAAAAATATATAACAATTTAAACACCAGGATCTGGCCAATCTGCATAATTAGTTATTTTAATTTTGATTCAGTTTTGCTGATAATACTTCACCACTCAAGTAAATCATTGACTGGAGGACATTTACTGGAGTTATTTTAAATTGTGGTAAAAAAAAAACATCTTCCTTCTTTGGAAATATTATTTGGTTTGGGCTGTATCAGCTTACTGCATACTTTACTTACAAAGGTCTTACACTTTTAATGGAATAAGTTGTGGCATGTTGCAAAGGTCAAGAGTTCCTACCTGCAACATCAGAGGCATCAAAAAATGTATAATTGTTATGACATCCTATTTAGAATTTCCTGATTATATACACACAGATTTAATGTTGAATTACACATTCAAACTCCAGTATGTTCATAAAAAATCTAACATGGACCCCAGTATACCGTTGTTTGAGACTGAGGAGTTTGTTCAGTGCAAGACTACACTCTAAAAGGAAAAGAAAGAAAATGATAGAAACAAGGAAAAAGCTTACGAATTCAGCTCATTTTTTACTGTATGAAAGTTTCACAAGGTCGTTTAGAGAGTCATGTTAACACAATACCTGAATACAGATTTGTTTCCTTGTTCTACAAGTCACGGAGCACTGAGTCTTTAAGCGATCATTATTACCATACAAATAGACAGATCTATTTAACAACCCCCTTTTTATCGCATAACACTTATTCTTTAGTGTTGCTCCCTGAAAGGCACTGAAATGCGTCTACCCCCTCCTTTTTTTTTTGGCAGGGAAATCGTCTCCAAGTTGATAAAGGCTCAGAGCAATAGAAGAAGCAAGGCTGACATCTTCTTAAGAGATGATAGGAAAGCCAAATCAAATAGGATGGAGCAGTCACTCTTTTCACAGATAGGTAGCTCATTTCTGGTGGCTGAGAGTTTGCATCCCTAGTGGCGCTCTGCTTGGGAAAGATAGCTCACTCGGACTCCATTCATTATTTCTTTCCCTGCCTCCTCTTTTCAAATCTTCGACAGTTTTTTGTGTGTTGCTTTAATGAGTTGCCTATTTCTCTCAAGTGTTGATGGGAATCTTGGAATTTAGATTTGGAGACAAAATGTTTAATCACAAGTGTTTTTCATTTGTGAAGAACAGGCAGAAATCAATTATTTCTATTAGACAATGCTGACTGGGAATGAATGGAAGAAGTAGCATTTGGAAACAAAAGCTCCAAGGAGGCAGAGATGAGTGTCAGACTTGACCCCCTGAGGTTTGATATGTGGTTTGGGTTAATACACAGTGCAAACATTTACCATTGAATTACATCATATAGTAACTGTAAAATATAACTAAATTATGTGTAAAGTAAATTATCTTTGAAAGGAGACGGTGTTATGCTACAAATCTTGCAAGCTAGCAAGATAGTCTAGTTCGAATATCACTGGCTTTTTGTTCAGTGTCATCAGTTATAGAGGGTTTGTCTGCACTATAACTTCCCATTAAGTTGTGAGAACTTTTCCCATAAACTATTTACAGCCAGGCTTAATCAATCAAGCACAAGCTCCATATGATATTCAGCTTGCCACTTCCTGAAGAGCACTTTGCTATCATATCCCTCACATTCTTTGCAAATCCCTTGGAAAATTATTTATAAAAATGAACTTCTCTTGCAGAGGGCTCATTGAAAAGAAGAATTACATGAAAGATAAAACACTATCATCAGTGAGAGACTAGACAATGTACACTGAGAAATTGGGAAGATGACAGAAACAATGAATATTAAGTGCCTAAGAATCTAAAGCTGCTGACTAAATTGAAACTGAATATCCTGAGGGAGCAAGGTTTCCAAATTGCTAATTACTGCCTCTGAAAGGGGACTGTTTCTGATATGTTTGCTTGTGAAAGGCTGCCGCTTAATGAAGCAGTGGCTCAAGTATTATTATTATTTTTTTTTTTTAATATTCCTGCTCTCCAGCTTTCAGTGCTCACTCTGAACTTTCCTCCCAGGCCAGAACAATGACAGGCCCAGGAGCCCAGCTTCCCCACAGGCCCTGGCGAGACGAGGCCGGGGGCTGAGTTCGGAGGGAGCTGCTCAGCATGCTGAAATATGGAGGCGACAGATAAGGTGGCAGTGGCACAGAGCGGCCTTCTCCCATGGGCCCAAGGGGAAATTTGCAGTTATTAAGAGGAAGATGAGAGAGATTAAATGGCTCTTGTACTTGTTTTTACAGACTTTTCTTTTTATTTTTTGGGCTGGCTTCATCTGAGACATGAAAGATGTGGTGAATTACTTTTTCAGCAACACACTGCTTTGAAAGCCAATTCTTCATTACTGAGAATTGTCACATCATAAAACATTTATTAGTCCACTATTGTTTTAAAAGGTGTGGAGGTAATAAAATTACTGTAATCTTATAATTTACAACTACAGTAATTCCTAACTTAACATGGTTTGGGGGATTTTGTTTGAAGAAATTAACAGAATGTTACTTACATATACGTACAGTCACAAGAAAAATTTATGGCGCTATTTGCGCTGATTTGCTGCATAAATTGGTCATGAAATGTGATCGGATCTTCACCAGAGTCACAAATATCAACAAACACAATATTTCTAGGATGATAAAACACACAAAGGCATTATCATTCATATCTTTATTGAACACACCCATTAAACATACAAAGTGATGGTGAAACAAAGTAATGGCAACACCGGGCTTCTGATGTCGCTAAATATCAACTGGAGTCAGGTGTTAGCACACCTGGAGTACAATCATTGAAACGAGAATGGAGATGTGGGTTAGAACTACCTTGACTTATAAAAGCACTCAAACAGTGTCAGTGTGCTGTTCACAAGCAGCACCAGCTGATGTGAGCAGTGGCAAAAAAAAAAAAAAAAAAAAAAAAAGACAATCTCAGATGACCTATGATCAAGAGTTGTTGATTTGCATGTAGTTGGAAAGGGTTAGAGTCATCTCAAAGACTTTAGATATTAATCAGTCCACAGTGAGACATGCTATCCATTAATGGAGATGATTTTGTACTGTGGCTACCCTCCATACAAGTGGGTGCCCAGCCAAGATCACTCTAAAGGCACAATGCAGAATGTTTAATGAGAAAAAAAGAACCACAGAGTAACATGAAGGAATCATTGGAGTTGGTATGTTTGTGGCATGAAAAAGTGCACTGATGAATTTGTTGTGGCTTTGTCCACCAGTGATAAAACAATGTATTTGAACACATTTAATGTAGTCTCAGCGCTGCACTATGTAACATTTTTAAAAATATTTTTGTTGTAGAAATCTGCTCCAAAACTTGTCTTAATGTGGAGAGATGCTGTCGAAGCCTCCTGTGACCCAGATTCATTGAATAGCACCGGCAGAAGTGCAGAAATATTAGCTTCTAAAATGTTTTGAGCAGGATTGACCTCTCTAACCAATCAGAGATTTTAAATTATTTCTGCTTGATTAGTAAGTTTTGTTGCATTCTCATTTATTGTAATTTCATAATGACAAATATCTGAAGAGCTGGGATGAGTGTGGTGGAGCATAACAGATTGTAGTAGAGGACAGTGGAGCAGGGATTGATTTGGAGTTTCATGCTAGCGCTACCTTAAGTTACTTATGTATCGTTTGATAAACTGGTTCAAAAATAGACCTATTTTAAAATGGTAGGAGCTACATCTGTTTAACATAGCCCACTGGCTGTCCTATCAGTCAGGTGTTTTAAAATATAACAAGTAATTGAAAAACCTCTTGGATTTGATGGGGGAAGGGTATTTATCAGTGATTCACTTTGACAGTAGCTTAGATGGATTCAGGGACTTCATAAAGTCCTAGAAAACAGTCAGTCTAAAATCCTGTGCTGGCCTCCCTACATTTGTATTAGTATATGTAGAATAAATTTTCTTCTGCTGAATTTTTTGTTGATCTTTCGATGATTTTATGTATGATTTTATCTTATTAAAGTCATATGTGGGCTATTGCATGCTATTGTGATGTATTGCATTAGGTTTTAAGTGTGCATAGTGTTTGTAACCTACAGTACATGTCAGCTACTGTAACAGTAATAATACATTTTTCTACTTATGACTTACAGTGCAAGGGCTGTAGCTCTAATGTCCTTAAGATTTTGGTAGTTTTGTTATGGCCCTGACACTTTAAATACTAAACATTTCAATACTCTATCAATGTATTATTGCACCCCTATATAATATTGTGTGTGTCATGAGATAGGTAGTTTGTTAGACATTTTATCTTTCTATATCTATATTAAAATAATTCATAACATTATAGACAATTTTACAGTAATACAAATGATTTAAATTGTCATTTATACAGACAATGTATCCGCTTAATTAAGGGAATATTATGTGATCTATTTGTATTATCTTCATAGTAGCAGGCAGAGTTGTGGACTCCTTATCTTCGGCCATTGGTGTTGTGGGGGGAATCTTTTGGAGGAGCGTCACAGGAGGCGGAGTCACCTGATTGGCTGGACCGCAAAGCGGAAGTGCGTGTGGCGTCCGAGCTGCGCTGAAAACAAAACAAGACAGGCTGCGACTGGTGAGTGCTCAAGCACTGTGGGCTTCTGTCTGTTATTACATGGTGCATTAGCTGCTGTGTGTGCCGTATGTATGTCACGGCTACCACGTTAAAAGCAGTTAAACGGTGTATTTCGCTGATAGGTGGCGGTTTTGCGGCGTGTGGCCGTTGAGACTGTCCTTGTGCTGAGCTCACTTGTGGGGTGTTGTTATGTAACAGTCTGCACCGAGCATGCAGACAGGCCAGCTGCTATTGTTATGCTACAGTGATGCTCTGCAGCTTCCCAAGCGCTCCCTTAGCTGGTTATGAACATGTTGTTATTGTTTTTTGTTTGTTTGTTTTTTTTTATAGCTGCAGATGATGTTCAAACAGAGGAGCTGCAATTTCTATACCCTTGCAATCAAAGAAGGGGGCTTGATGATCATCCGCAATGTTATGCTGCTAGACTTAAAGAAAAATAAGCTGGGAAATATTTTGCCACTCAATGAAAAACAAACTACTTTGACATTTGTGATTTGCAGAGGTGGAAAGTAACTAAGAACATTTAATCAAGTACTGTCTTTAAGTACAATTTTGAGGTATTTGTTCTTGAGTATCTTCATTTTCTGCTACTTCATACTTTGACATCACTGCATTTTACACTCACTCACTACATTTATTTGATAAGTTATTCTTTAGACTGAGCTTAATTAACCAAAATGCAGTATAATCATAAGGATATATTGATCTGTGGTGGAAAATTCACAAGCTAGCCAGCAGTAATGTAAAGTACCTCAAATTATATAAGGTAGTTAACATTAGCTCCAACTTTACCAGCTGTAACATTAAATGTGATGCATCAATAATTATAGTGCAGTATTATGATATACATTAATGTGAACATTGCCATTCTGCATAATGGTACTTTTACTTTTGGTACTTTACATATATTTTATGATAAAACGTTTGTACTTTTACTTAAGTAACAGTTTGAATGCAGGACCTTTACTTGTGACAGAATATTTTTACACTGCATTATTTCTACTTATATTTAAGTAAGCACACTGAGTACTTCTTCCATAACTGGTGATTTGGGTAGTGGTTTTATCACAAGTTAACAGAGGACGTTCACAAGTCACAGATGGAGGTGATTTGAATCGCATCAAGAAAAAAAAATTCATCCCTATTATACTGTATTCATAGTGTTTAACTCTTTGTCACCACACTACTCAAGTTTCATCTGTTGTGTCTTGTCTTCAGCAGCATGATGGATGAGCTGGTGCAGGACTTGGTTTCTGCACTGGAGCAGACCTCACAGCAGAGTAAGTTGGAGAAGCTGTGGGAGGAAATGGTCTTTAGCCCACTGCCTCAAAGACGGCAGATCCGCCGCCGTAGAGGCCGCAAGCGGTACCGTGAATCCTCCCTCTGTCTGCTGGAGCACAGACGTTGCTGGATTGAGGCCTCAGAGTCCAGTTTGGACGAGGCTAAAGAGTACAGGGTGAACTCTGCCTCAAACAGGACTGCTTCTGTGGCCAACTGCAGTGACTCTGACGACCTGTCTACAACCAGCCACTGGCACTCTGTCATCAGAGGCTCGGCCAGGGCTAGGCAGCCTTCCTGGCCAGAATCTGACTCCTTCACTGAGAATAATCCAGGACGGCAACTCAGGAGGCGCAGGAAGGTCAAACGTATGACCTCAGACATCACAGTCCGGCTTCAGCAGAAGTTAAAGGTTTCTGGCGTTGATGGGAAACGGAGGCACAGACCATCCAGGATGCAGCATTTGTCTCGATCGAAGAAGAGGTCTGGCAGTTGGATGGGAGCAGACAGGCAGACTGAAGGAGCCAGGCTGATGGGAAAGGAGTGTTGGAAGAGAAAGGTGGTCAAGGAGCACAGAGACGGTGCAGATGAGAACATGTCTGAGGGGTAATTTAAAATTTTTATTTTTTCAAAACCCTACATTTAATTTATCATTTTCCAACAAGCCAAATGTTAACCTGGACATCATTTAAAGAGTCAGGATTAAAACCATACAGAAAAAGTAACTCCGGACTCCCAAAGCCCTTTTTTACTCTTTAAATGAAAAGCTACTAAGGTAGTTAAACCCATAACATAAAAGTCATGGGCATAACTACTGTCAGACAGAAGCAATTAAACAAGTCGGCATTTAAGATGATCTGTGCAGCCTGTCGTCATCAAGCCAGTTGTCAATATTCAGCATGTTCTCAACTAAACCAAAAAATGTATCACAATCATGCCACTCCATTTTATAGTATTGCGTTGACATTAAAAATTTATGATAGTCTCTTTAGCCTCATCTCCTATATCTGAAATGATCACCAGGGAGGGATCTTTGATAGTTATGCCTTTGGGCATCTGCCAGCTCATTATTTCCTTTCGAGAAATATTGTCACAAATAAATGAGTGACTTGGCGTGGTATTGATTTGTTTTGAAATGAATTCCTGTCTTGGGCTGGGTAATTAAAGCAGCGCCTGTCCCAGTGCCTCGCAGTGCACCCTCACATGTGCATTTTATTTAGCTAAACGAAATGTGGCTGTAAGTGGCAGCAGAGAAGGCCATTATGTTATTACAGTGAAACAAAGATTTCACTATAGTGCAGAATAAAAGAGACTAAATAGTGACAACGAAAATCTGGCACTGCTTTGTCTGAAACTGTGTCATTGTTCACTCATTCACTACTTCCTCTGTACTACACGGTACAGTAGCTTACTTTACAGTGAGCAGTAAATACAGATTTTGGATACTGATGAAGCCTCCTTTTTTGTGCCTTTTATAAACCATAGTGCAGTTGTACAACAGACTGTTAGCAGTCAGTAGCAATTAATTCACTAAGTACATTTCATTGTACTTACCACAAGTATAATTTGAGGTACGTGAGTAATTTTTATTTGACAGGGAATTATTGTTTCTATCTTGTTCCACTACACTTTTCTGACAGGTGTGGTTCTTTAGTTTACATACACAAACTGTAGCCAGCTCATAAGAAATGATTGCACTGATTAAACTACACAACATAATGTAAAGTCTGAATTTTCTCCACCTCAACCAGATAAAACTTAGAACCAAAATAAAATGCACCTTAATGTCTTAGTAATTATAACCCAGTCATGAAAGGGGCTATTCTATGGGCTAATGAGTACTTTTACTTCTGATACTTAAAGTACATTTTTCTGTGAATAGCTTTGTACTTTTACTAAAGTAAAATAATGGATGCAGGATTTACATTGGAGTATTTTAGAGTGGCAGTGATACTAAAGTAAAAGCTTTCAATGCATCTATCACTGAAAAGTACTGTACATTCCACGGACACCATACTTTATTTCATTGTGGGTATTTTCTGAGGGCACTATATACTACATAAATTTCACATTTTTACACTTACTCTACAATCAAATAAAATGGCAGATAGCAAATATAGCATGCTACAGTATGTGTATATTTACACCGATCAGCCATAACATTACGGCCACTGACAGGTGAGGTGAATAACACTGACTGTCTTTTACAGTGGCACCTGTCAGCGTGTGGGGTTTATTAGGCAGCAGTTTACACTTACTCTACAATCAAATAAAATGGCAGATAGCAAATATAGCATGCTACAGTATGTGTATATTTACACCGATCAGCCATAACATTACGGCCACTGACAGGTGAGGTGAATAACACTGACTGTCTTTTACAGTGGCACCTGTCAGCGTGTGGGGTTTATTAGGCAGCAGGTGAACGTTCAGTCCTCAAAGTTGATGTTTTGGAAGCAGGAAAAATGGGCAATTGTAAGGATCTGACTGACTTTGACAAGGGCCAAACTGTGATGGTGAGATGACTGGGTCAGAGTGTCTCCCAGTCTGCAGGTCTTGGTGGGTGTTCCTGGTCTGCAGTGGTTAGTACTTACCTACAGTGGTCTAAGGAAGATAAAGCAGAGAACCGGCAACAAGGTCATGGATGCCCATTTAGTTTGAATCTTTGTTAAAATGGTTGAAAATGAGAAATACTGTACATTGGTCTCTATGAAGAGAAATATTCAGAGGCTATAGTGGTGATATCACACCTAGAGTGAGGAGGCTGTTGAATTTGTTTAAATAATTCTCTCTAACTTGTCCTCACAAGAAGTTTTCACTCCTTTTACATAGGGTTTTCATTGAATGGTCAACACTGCTGTGCTCTTCCTGACAGTAGAACTATGGAAGCAAACAGATTCACAGAAGATGCATCGTGAGCTGCAGAGTGACACGAGTGCCAACTTACTGCTGCACTGACTCCTGCGTGCACAGTATTGGGCAGGTGGTCATAATGTTATTTCTGATAAGTGCATATCGGATCATATATTTACCTTTTTTGGGCATGATGATTCTTACTAATATTAATTATTTGGTGACCATTTTTTACAACTTATAAATGATGTTTTTGGTGTTAAATACCATTCATAATCAGTACAATGAGTTTATAAATTGACAAATATGGTGGCCACTTCTAGCAGTTTTGTTTCCTTTGCTGATTTCATTATCTGTTGATTACATAAAACATGAGAAGAAGTTGGCTGATCATGGGACAGACAGAAGGCTTTACATCTTCAGGTTTAATTTGTGCTGACCTCCCTAGCCCCTAAACGGTACTTGTTTTCTTACTTTATGGAAAAATCAATAGCCGTTCTGACAGAAAACAGCTCCGGAGAAGAAATAAATGGGAACTCCATGGCACACTGTCAATCATTTCTCACTTACACAACGCCAGTGGTTTTGATTGCGGCTCAGTAGACTGCCACAGTGTACTGAGGGCTGAACAATCTAATGGTTAAGCCCTGGCGGAGGCAAAGGATATGAACAAATGGCAGCAGTGATGAGGGGCTGACAGTGGTACAACAGCAATATTTATACTCTGAGAGTGTATAGTCCATTGGATGTCAGACACAGATGCCATTGTTGAAATGTCTTTTGAAGCACTGGGATTTCTTTACTCTCCATCCATTCCATTAACCTTTTTTCATATGGAGTGTCTGGTCTCCTAAAATGTGCCTCGCCTCAAGGTCACGCCTCTTACGTGCATACTGAGCAGAGTTTTCAGCTCGCCTTCAGCCACCCAAGTGCACAGGGAGCAGATGTTGGCAGCTCCATTTGGGCTCCACATCCTCGATTAGACCTGGCCCACCCTGCTGGCAGCGAGGCCACCTGGCACCCAGGATGGCCCAGCAAGCAAGCCTCACCTGTGGGTAGACGCTGTCCCGGGCTCAGCCTTCGTCTCCAGCTGTGTGCTGCTGCTGTTGACCTCAACCCTGCCATCAGGAAAAGCGAAGCCACTGTTAGTGCTTTTGTTGCACTGGGCGTTATCATGCTGTAACTTATATTTTGAAAACTCTATGAGGAATTCTGGGGAAAGCAGTGCAGTATTTGCTGAAGTTAATTTTCATAAATCTCTGAGACTAATCCAATTACTGCAGCTCAGGGAGGGTGGGATAACCTTATAATCAGACACTCATAGAAGAGGGCATGGATTTGGGATGGAGCAGCTTGTTTGAAGAGTCCACAGATCCATTGTTATCAGCGCTTTGCCCCCTCTGTCTCTGTCTCTTCTTTATTCCTCTGCAGAATGCGGCCAGGCTCAATAAATGGCGGCTAGCCTGTAATCTCTGTGCAAACTGATCTGCCTCTCCCAGGAGTTGAGGATTATGTCCTAATGATTAGTGCTCATCTGGATACTGTGTTTTGCTGCACCTCTTTGTTCAGACCCAAAACACTGGAATGCAGTTTTTGTTTTTGCCCTTGCCTTTGTTTCACCATGAACATGGTATTTATATAATTAAGGCATTTATTTTTTGCGCCATTAGACGGGCTCTCGTCAAACACAGCAGTGACATCTTTCGACTGAGTTTGCCCAAAATGTTGAACTTTTCTTGACATAGGTCACTGGTGAAAATAGAAGAAGTGTTTCTTTTGGTCCCAAGAAAAATGTAGGTGTCAATTATTTATGCCATTAATTAAGCAGTACTTAATGGAAACAGTCTCACATCAGCCCTGTGCTGCTCCAAGCGACATCACATTACACCTTTAATACAGATAAATACTTAATGGATGTTTCTAATTAATTGTTTATACTTGTGATTCTTTTTTTTTTTTTTACTTTGTACAAAATCTCTGCAGTAATAAGCAAACACAGAAACTGGAAGAAGGTGTCACACTTAATCATCACCAGTTTCTAATTTCATAGAAAAGTTGAACGAGGCATTAAGAGAAAATTTATTGTAAAGCTATTGCTTACTGTAGGTCTTGTGGCTGTGCCCTCTACTGATGTTGAAGTGTGTGTGCTCCAGATGTGTCCAGAGGTGGAGTACAGCTGAGCAGAGGCCTGGGGAATCAGTCTGAAGGGGTGGGATGGGGGTGGAGGGGTGGTTTGGGAATGAACGGCTAGGTTAGACATCTTCCCGATTCTCTGGAGATGATGTAGGACCATCTGGCTGGAGACTCACAGGCTTGATGGACATTTTTCTGATCCTGCCATCACTGGCAGGGCTCTGCAATATGGCAAAGCACCGTATCAGCATGTATCTAACCCTCCAGCTTTCTCCTATAAGCAAGGTCAGCGATGATAAACAGGAAGCAAAATGCAAGGTAGTCAAGAGCATTAAGCTCCCTCTCATGAAGTATTTTTGAATGGCAGCTAGCTTAGGGCGGCGACAGTGGTGCAGTGGGTAGAGCGGTCGCCTCCCAACCGGAAGGTTGAAGGCTTGAATCTTGGTGCCTGCAGTCCACATGTCGAAGTGTCTTTGGGCAAGACACTGAACCCCCCAAGTTGCCCATGATGGCGGCGTGTATGCACGCAGTGGCCAGGGGCCCTCGGCTCCAAACAACATTTCGTTGTACTTGTCACAATGTTACAATAAAATAAAGCTGCTTCTTCTTTATATAAAGAATAAAGCTGCTGTTATTATGTGCTTTCTTACTATTCAATCTGCAACACATTAGTCCACGTCTCAGTAATTTACCACTTTTCTACCTTGTTTGTGACACTCAGCCAATTTGCTCCTGCTGACGA